AATATAGAGTTTATTATTATTATTATTATTATTAATACTGCTAGGTCTGAATATAGAGTTTATTATTATTATTATTATTATTATTATTATTATTATCATTAATACTGCTAGGTCTGAATATAGAGTTCATTATTATTATTATTATACTGCTAGGTCTGAATATAGAGTTTATTATTATTATTATTAATATAGCTAGGTCTGAATATAGAGTTTATTATTATTATTATCATTAATACTGCTAGGTCTGAATATAGAGTTTATTATTATTATTATACTGCTAGGTCTGAATATAGCGTTTATTATTATTATTATTATTATTAATACAGCTAGGTCTGAATATAGAGTTTATTATTATTATTATCATTAATACTGCTAGGTCTGAATATAGAGTTTATTATTATTATACTGCTAGGTATGAATATAGCTTTTATTATTATTATTGTTATTATTATTAATACAGCTAGGTCTGAATATAGAGTTTATTATTATTAATTATTATTATTATTATTAATACAGCTAGGTCTGAATATAGAGTTTATTATTATTATTATTATCATCATCATCATTAATACTGCTAGGTCTGAATATAGAGTTTATTATTATTATTATTATCATCATCATCATTAATACTGCTAGGTCTGAATATAGAGTTTATTATTATTATTATTATTATTATTATTATTATTATTATTATTATTAATACAGTTAGGTCTGAATATAGAGTTCATTATTATTATTATTATTAATAATACTGCTAGGTCTGAATATAGAGTTTATTATTATTATTATTATACTGCTAGGTCTGAATATAGAGTTGTTTATTATTATTATTAATACAGCTAGGTCTGAATATAGAGTTTATTATTATTATTATTAATAATAATACTGCTAGGTCTGAATATAGAGTTTATTATTATTAGTATTAATACTGCTAGGTCTGAATATAGAGTTTATTATTATTATTATTATTATACTGCTAGGTCTGAATATAGAGTTGTTTATTATTATTATTATTATTAATACAGCTAGGTCTGAATATAGAGTTTATTATTATTAGTAGTAGTATTAATACTGCTAGGTCTGAATATAGAGTTTATTATTATTATTATTATTATTATTACACTGCTAGGTCTGAATATAGAGTTTATCATTATTATCATTATTATTAATACTGCTAGGTCTGAATATAGAGTTTATTATTATTATAATTATTATTATTATACTGCTAGGTCTGAATATAGAGTTTATTATTATTATCATTATTATTATTATTATTATTATTAATACTGCTAGGTCTGAATATAGAGTTTATTATTAATTATTATTATTAATACAGCTAGTACTGAATATAGAGTTTATTATTATTATTAATACTGCTAGGTCTGAATATAAAGTTTATTATTATTATTATTATTATTATTATTAATACTGCTAGGTCTGAATATAGAGTTTATTATTATTATTATTATACCCCTAGGTCTGAATATAGAGATTATTATTATTATTATTATACTGCTAGGTCTGAATATAGTGTTTATTATTATTATTATACTGCTAGGTCTGAATATAGAGTTTATTATTATTATCATTATTATTATTATTATTAATACTGCTAGGTCTGAATATAGAGTTTATTATTAATTATTATTATTAATACAGCTAGTACTGAATATAGAGTTTATTATTATTATTATTATTATTAATACTGCTAGGTCTGAATATAGAGTTTATTATTATTATTATTATTATACCCATAGGTCTGAATATAGAGATTATTATTATTATTATTATACTGCTAGGTCTGAATATAGAGTTTATTATTATTATCATTATTATTATTAATACTGCTAGGTCTGAATATAGAGTTTATTATTAATTATTATTATTAATACAGCTAGTACTGAATATAGAGTTTATTATTATTATTATTATTAATACTGCTAGGTCTGAATATAGAGTTTATTATTATTATTACTATTATTATTAATACTGCTAGGTCTGAATATAGAGTTTATTATTAATTATTATTATTATTAATACAGCTAGTACTGAATATAGAGTTTATTATTATTATTATTATTATGAATAATGCTAGGTCTAATTATAGAGTTTATTATTATTATTACTATTATTATTAATACTGCTAGGTCTGAATATAGAGTTTATTATTATTAATACTGCTAGGTCTGAATATTGTGTTTATTCTTCTTATTATTTTTATTATTACTAATACTGCTAGGTCTGAATATAGAGTTTATTATTATTAATGCTGCTAGGTCTGAATATAGAGTTTATTATTATTACTGCTAGGTCTGAATATAGTGTTTATTATTATTATTATTATTAATACTGCTACTACTGAATATAGTGTTTATTATTATTATTGTTAATACTGCTACTATTGAATATAGTGTGCGTGCAAGCCTGTTGTCGGCGTAAGGGTGTGAGAGCCTGTCAAAATGTGTGCGTGCAAGCCTGTTGTCAGCATGAGTGTGTATGTGAGCCTGTCAGAGTGTGTGTGTGCGTTTAGGTACCTGCCCCCTCCGATC